GTCTTCGCCAAAGTGTCGATCGCTTTCCTCGTCTCGTCTAAAATGTCTGACACTTCCTTCAAGAGGTGCTCTTTAATTGGGTCGGAGTTGGACTCTCTTATTGTCATCGCTTCCGATGCTATCAATTGTATGAAAATACTATTAATTTTTGTTAAAAATGATTAAAATCTATGAGACATACCGTAGAGAGCAGTGAAGAAAAGAACACCAAATACTAAAAATTTCATTTTTATTTATTTTCTAAAACAAATCAATTGTTTTTAATAAAATAATACTTTATTTATCTTTGAATTTGTTCTCAAATTCTTGTGTGAATTCTGTGTTAAGAATACAACCCTTTTACAACCCTATAACGTTATAATCTATTTAATTTATTGAATCAAAGTCTAAACAATGTATATTTAATCTTAAAATTTTTGGTAACTGTGTTTGTGATAAGCATTGCATAAATAAAACAAATTACTTTAAATACAAATTATACTTAAATGACAATTGGATTAAAATGTAATACATTAGACTTTAACCTCAACACAGACTTTGGTTAATAAGTAATTGTACATTCATTTAATTATTATAACGTTTAACTGTGCCTGTTTCGTTTGCAAATTCTGTTATTATTTTATTAAATTATTTAAATAAATAATATAATAGTTTCGATTTTATTAATTACATTACTATATAAAAGGAAATATATAAAATATTATGTGTATTTATCAAAAAGATTACTTGGCTACTTATTTTCAAAATGTACACATTTAATAACTGTAAAAAATTGCCAAACGTTATTTTCATATTGAAGGATGTTAATCAAACTGTAAGTATATTTAAAATGTAATTTAAATCAATGTAAATTTTAATTTATTAATAAGTAATTGGAAATACTTCTCTGTTCTTATTCTTATAAAGGCTTTCTTATTTTATTACCTAATAATTAATTATTTTGTTTACGATTTTTCATGTTTTTATGCCTTCACTGTTTATATTTAAACAAAGATTATTTTTTAATGAATACAAAAGGATTTTTAATTTTGAGAGAGAGA